AGGATGCAGTTACTACTGTACATATGTATGCTTGATGTCTAGATGTCAGACAGCGGGAAGACACATTACAAGGTTAATCCATGCACTATGAATTTGGAGGCCTTCAGAAAAACAGTTTAGCCTGAAGTATGGAAATAAACGTCAGAGCATGACTAAAAAGACAGGGTCATGGTAAGCATAAATCCATGTATTAAAGTCTTAGGCACTTTAAATTGACTGGACAAGGTCCCAAAAACTTAAGTTGAAATTAATTGTTTTTCCTTATCGGCAGAATTTCAACACGCTCCAGAGTTGTGCCGTTACAGAAAAGTAACATTGTCATTTTATCTGCTAGAATTAATAATTGTGCACACAAAAATCCATCAATAAATAAATAGAGTGGGTGACCAGTTTCCACACATAAGCAGAATCCAATAAGCAATGTCAGGGCAAATTAAACTTTTAAAACCAGCCTTGTGCTGCAGCCAAATAACAGCTATGCAATTAAATAAATGAATAAAACACATTATTTTTTACATAAAACACAAAATAATAATTAAGTAATCTTACCTGCCACCTACCACCTGCGCTTTTTTGCCTTCTTGCCCTGTTGTAGATTCCACAATATTTTAATCGGATTTTAGCCATATACAGTATAATAGCCGCACCTACTGTAGCTGTTGCAGATTTGTCAACCACATATCCATAATGTGAATCTTCCATCCCACCACATCCCAAAGGTCCACTAATGGATTGAGATCTGGTGACGGTGAGGATATTTGAGTATAGTCTTCTGCCAGGGCTGACAAGTTTTGAGTTCAGGGTGGAGTGAAACTTATTCCTTGGGGTCAAACCATTATACAATATATAAAATACTCACTGTATGTCATATGCACATGACATAGATTCAACAAGCTACTGGAAATATTCCTCAGAGATTTTGGTCTGTTGTGACATGATAGCATCACGCAGTTGCTGCAGATTTGCACAACCGTGATGTGAATCTCCTGTTCCACTAGATCCCAAAGGTGCTTTATTGAGTTTTTATTGAGTTTTGGTGACTGTGGAGGCTATTTGAGTACAGAAAACTCATTGTCGTCTTCCTGAAACCAGTCTGAGATGATGCCATCGGAAGATGGGTAAACTGTGGTCATAAAGGGATGGACATGGTCGACATCGATACTCAGGCTGTGGTGTTGGCACGATGCTAATGGTACTAATGGGCCCAAAGTTTGCCAAGAAAATATCCCCTACATCATTACTCCACCACCACCAGCCTGAACCATTGATACAAAGCAGAATGGATCCATGCTTTAATTTTGTTGACACCAAATTCGGACCCTACCCTCCAAATGTGGCAGCAGAAATGGAGATTCAGAACAGGCAACATTTTTTCAATTCTCTTTTGTCCAGTTTTGGTGAGCCTGTGTGAATTGTAGCCTACGTTTCCTGTTCTTACCTAACAAGAGTAGCACCCAATGTGGCATTCTGCTTCTGTAGCCCATCTGCCTCAAGTTTCGGCATGTTGTGTGTTCAGAGATGCTTGTCTTCATACCTCGCTTGTAACAAGTGATTATTTGAGTTACTCTTGTCTTTCTATCAGCTCGACCCAGTCGGGTTATTCTCCTCTGACCTCAGGCATCAACAAGGCATTTGTGCCCACAGAATTGCCGGTCACTAGATATTTTCTTTTTTCAATCCATTCTCTGTAAACCCTAGAGATGGTTGTGCAGGAAAATCCCAGTAGATCAGCAGTTTTTGAAATACTCAGACTAGCCTGTCTGGCACCAACCATGTCAAATTACTTTCTTCCTCATTCTGATGCTTGGTTTGAACTGCAGCAGATCGTCTTGACTGTCTACATGCCTTAATGCATTGTTGCGGCAAGTGTACCCAATAAAGTGACCATTAGGTGTATATATATATATATATATATATATATATATATATATATATATATATATATATATATATATATATATATATATACATATATATATAAATATATACATACACACACACACACACACAGAATTTGTTTATACAGTGATTTGATAAAGCATTTGCCCCCTTACTGATTTCCTATTTTTTTATTTTAAAATAAATAAATAAATAAGGCGTCACAGGGGCACAGTGGGTAGCACGATCGCCTCACAGTAATAAGGTTGCTGATTTGAGCCCCGGCTGTGTCAGATGGCATTTCTGTGTGGAGTTTGCATGTTCCCCCCGTGTTTGAGTGGGTTTCCATAGTTGTCCATAGTATATGTGTGTGAATGAGTGTGTAAGGATATTTCTCAGTGATGGGTTGAAGCTGGAAGGGCATCTGCTGCATAAAACATGTGGTGGATAAGTTGGCGGTTCAATCTGCTGTGGCGACCCCTGATTAATAAACGTACTAAGCCGAAAAGAAAGTAAATGAATGAATGAATAATTAATTTATAATAATATATAATAATTTAAAAAAGTTTCAGACGAAGATAGCACAAGTAAACACATCATGCAGTTTTGAAATGAAGGAGAAATGAATATTCCTCTACAGCACTGTAACAGACTCTTTACAAAAGAAATCAGTAAGGGGGCAAACAGCTATATATCAGTTAAATTAATATAAAAAATCCACTAAATATTTAAATTCAGGAATATTGAAACATATTCAACAGTTTAAACTGATTCAGTTACATTAATTTAAAATAGCTCAGTACCAGACAAAAATCTGGACACAAGGCTAAACTGTCAGTGTAGTAACACAGAAACAGACAAAAAAGACTTGATGGTTGAAGTTTGGCTGACAAAAACCAGGGGAAGACTGCTGAGACAAAACTGAGAGAGGTGAAGATTCGGGTAGATAGAGGAGATGAACAGATGCCTTGAGATTTACAGTTAGCCTGATTTATACTTCTGTGTTGAGTAGAAATTAATCATAAAATAAACAAAAGAATCAATTTGACACTAAACACTCGCCACTGGCCTTGCTTTAATCCAAAGGCTCTCGGCCCCATTCTCACTTTTCACCGCTACCAAGCCAGCCAATTCCAGATATTGTACTATGTGTTTTTGTGCCGTGCAATTACATTTTTATATATAACTTTTTAAAAATGGTCCATTTACCACATTATGTTGATTATAAGTTTTGTTTGGACATTGCAACTAATTGGACTTTAGAGTATATTATTAGACTGTTAGGTTAGTGTTAGTGTAAGTTGATGGGCTGGCAAAGTTTATTATAGGCAGGAATATTTCTGTTAGTAAAGCAGATATTGGGCAGTATATTATCCTCTAATGAGAATAATTGGTAACACTTTACAATAACAGTACATGAATAATGATGTATCAATATGTAAACTAAACATTACTTTATTATGAATTAATGATGAGTTAAGGTATGCGCTAATTATGAATTAACTTTAATTACAACATGATTTACATGAGTTCATGTGTGAATAATGGCTACCTTAATTACTTGTAAGTTCAGGATTGTTTGTTAATTAATGTATTAATTACCACATTAGTTTATGCTTTATTTAACCATGATGAACTCATGATATGTTAATGTATAATTATGTTATGACTTTACTTGGAGGGGCACATCATCATTAACCGATTCTTAACTACTCATGAAGTCCTTATGCACGTCTAACTAGTGAGTTTACACTGAATAACAATAGAAAAGTGTTCTATCAACATCAACATGAAGAGGAGTTCATAAGTAGTTAAGGATGAGTTAATAGTGATGTGCCCCTCCAAGTAAAGTCATGACATAACTATACATTAACAGCTCATGAGTTCATGTTGGTTACATTTAGCCTAAACTTAAATGTTAATTAATACATTTATTAACAACATGTACTAACAAGTAATTAAGGTAGTCGTTATTTACACATGAACTCATGTGACTCATGTTGTACTTAAAGTTAATTCATGATTAGTGCATACCTTAACTCATCATTAATTCATAATAATGTTTAGTTTACATATAAATACATCATTATTTATGTACTGTTATTGTAAAGTGTTACCGAATAATTTAGCATAGTTGTTGCAACGTAACTTGTATTCTACTAAATGTGCGTCACCATTAAAATGAAGTAACCCCCCCTCCCTCCAAATAATTCAATCAATAAATAAAAACAAAATAAAACCTTCAGATAGTTAATTAAAGTGCTAACGTGCAGTTGCTACATTATATTATGTAAAGACATAACCCATAATAAGTGTACTGGATGTTTAACAAAATTTTGTGCTAAATAAAAATGCTCTAATTTAGATGTTTCACTTAATCTAATACGTTGACCGGAAATTTATCAATAAAATTAATGCAAATCGAGCAATTATTGTTGTTACAACTACAATACTGCAATCATAGTGTCCACCCAAAGCCCTTCCTTGAAAATGTAAAGCCCCGCGCATCATATGGAGTGTCGACGTCACTCATTATTATCCTCTCAAGGCTTCTTCCACACGTAAGCGCTCTCAAGTGCTCTGAAGAGGCGGCAAAGTCGAGGTGCGCGAGCCTTGCAGCGGGGATAAAAAAAAAAACTTGATTTCGTTCTTACAGGCTTCTTAATAACCCTTTTATCTGCACACCTGTCATTTAGTCTATCCAACAGCATGTCAAGGTAATTGATTTTAGTTTGTTTTACTTCTGTCAGTGTACATTCTGACTGTATGAAGGCTAGCTCACCTGTATTGTTTGATATTCTGTAAAGCTGTTTGCTGTTTACGTTTACGCGTTGCACCGGCATCCTCTCAATTGAGCAACAACTTAGCTTAACCTGTTTGAAATTTACTAATGGCTTTATATTTGGGCTGCAAAGCCCTTGCGACACTATTCTTGCGCTGTGAAGACGCTTGTGAAGATTTGACGACGGAATTATGAAGCATGAATTGAGACTCTTCAGAGAACTTGATCAACTCTTCACACAGCATGGTCCACTCTCGGTTGTGGAGTAGCTCCGATAGAATTTTATCCATGGATCAAGGACGCAGTAAACGTAACATCAGTTGAAAACTGTGCGGCAAAGATGTTTCCTGAAGAAACTAATATGAGTTACATTTCGAACGGCACGGATGATGACTTGCTGTCTGCACTTGAAGACTGGAGCGACACTCCTGCTGAGAAACTGTCACGGACGGGACACAATGTAGTCGCTGTTATTTTGGGATCTATTCTAATATTCGGGACCCTGAACAATCTTGTAGTCCTCGTTCTGTTTTGTAAATTCAAGACACTGCGGACCCCCGTGAACATGCTTCTGCTGAACATCAGCGTGAGTGACATGCTCGTGTGTCTATTCGGCACCACGCTCAGCTTCGCGGCCAGTATCCGCGGCCGGTGGCTGGTGGGGAGACACGGCTGCATGTGGTACGGCTTCGTCAACTCATGCTTTGGTGAGTAAACACAAACAACAAAACAAACAAACAAACAAACAAACAAACAAAATATGCATACGGCGTCAAGGAACTAAATTTGAATCTGTTTAACACAGCTTAAATGCTGAGGTAGCCTAACTTAATTAATGAACATACCACAATTCTGGATAAAAAGAAATAGCACATGTAATTTACACATTAGGTGTTGTGGGAAAATGTTATTTTATTTCAGTCTGTTTAAAAGAGCAAATATGCTTATGTGGAAAGTGAAAATGTTTACACACAATATTTAGGCTAGATGAATTAAATTTAATGTTAGATCTCTTTTTACTAATTTTTTAAAGAATTGTATTCAGTGACCCATTCATAAAGACAAATCCTTCCTGAGTTAATTTCTCTTTGTTTGAATTTTACCCATGCTTTACATCTATGCACTTTGTTATATTTTTCTTATGTTAAAATAGTAGCTTGGAACAATTCAAAATTTACAGATGAGCTTAGAAAATGACATAGTTTCAGTTTTTTAATCTATAAAAATGTGTCTTTTTGACTGACTTTTGCAAAATTGAGTTCAGTGGTTTATTGTTCCCCTTTTTAATGACTATTATTGTGCATTCAGTGTTACATTGCACATCAAAACTTGATACAAAACATGATAAAATTATAGCTAAATAAATATTATCCAGCTTCATACTTGTCATGGTTTGCTATGACACATATGCAGAGATGTATAAAGTACTAGAAACCCAGAGGTAAGTAAAAGTACAAGTTCTCTATCAAAAAAGTGACTTGAGTAGAAGTTAAAGTGCTCTTTAAGCACCATACTAACAGTAGTTCTTGTCAACTCACAGTGAATTAACTAATAAGCACATCTTTGGAATTTAATAATCGTAATGAAACTTTATTGTAAGTGTGATCATGTGGTGTAGATTCAGATAAACCTTATGGATGACATTTAACACTGTACAGAGAACTGGAAAGACTTAAGTCTTGGGTCTGCTGCTTATCATGTAACATTAGCCTTGACACCATGGTGTGCTGGAAAGACCACACATTATGCGTTCTAAAAATAAGGAGAAATAAGGTCTCTCTTTCTCTCATCGCTATTGCACAGTTGTTTTATATATATTTATTTTTTACAATCGAGGACATGAGGAGGCTATTCCAGATGAAAATCACTTGTTTAGTACAAATGTCCTAAATGATCCAACTTAAAATCCATATAATTATAATTTATTAGGTCTATAAACAATAAACATAGCAAAACCTTTGCTGGAGATTCTTTTGTGAATCTACTAGATGTTGACAGTTCATAATGTTTGTAACATGCAAAATGTCTTTTATATTATTCTAACACATGCTCACTCAGGTAATGGACTTTTTTAAAGTCTTAGTGTTGTTTTAGACATCTCATGAAAAAAGGCTAACAATTTAGTTTAATGAACCAATATTCACTATCAACTTTGACTTAACACCTGCTTTTATTTATTGGTTGTTAAAAATAATAATAATATACAAAGTATATTGTACATGACCTTATTCTACAGTATATCCCTAATACCACTATTTAAATCTAGTTGTTTATGAGAAGCAAATTAGGAGTTCATTGAGGCAAATTACTCTGTCTCATAGTTTTTTTTTTTTTTCAAATTTCAAAACCCAGGTGTCAACTTTTAAAACTCTAGATACAGAATTCACAACCATTGCCAAAATTGCAATTTTTTTTTGAAAACTCTTAACTGTTTTGAAATGCTTGGATACAATACAGACAAGTCAAAGATACTTTGTTCACTGAACTAAAAAAAACCCTTGTCAATATAACTCAATTGAACAAATTGAACTGAACTGATCAACACACATTACATTTGAAATAAATTGAGTATTCATTTAATTAATTAACATGATCTAACTATCATCTGATACAAGCACTCAAAATAATAAATACTGATTGCATCACTCATAGCTTTGTGGAAACTTATGTACACTATTACAAGTTTAAATGATGAAAGTTTCAGGATAGATCAAATGACAGCAGTTACTACAGAAAGTGACCAACTACATCATCTATAGATTTTATCTTTATTCATACATATTATATATATATATATATATATATATATATATATATATATATATATATATATATATATATATATATATATATATATATATATATATATATATATATATATATGGGTTCTACTGTATGTTGTATGTACTACTTTTACAGACAATGTTTTAATATTTGACATTACTTTATGCAAGAAAGTCCAATCACAGCACCACAGCAGACCAATGTCAGGCCTAGATTTACATTGACAGAAGGTTCTTTTCAAGATGTTTGAGTAATGACAACACCATGTAATGTAGAGAAGAACCTGTGACCAAATCATGACCAGACTGATAGAAACACAGATGCCAAAATAGAAATCTGATATATGGAAAATGTATGCAAATTACATGTGATACTAGATCATATGGATTTTGACTATTTTAAAATTGAATTTTGAAAAGTGACTTCAAGGTTCTGAAATTTGTGGCAAAACAATTGTAAAAAAACTGTGAGTGAGAATTGTACCTTAAATTGTTTTGTACCTGTTATATAAAAAAATAATATTAATACAATTATGACTATTTTGTATTTCGGCTCAGTCACTGGACTGAAGTAGCTTATTACTGATTGTTTCTTATAAAAAGCCATGTCAAAAAGATAAAAAATATTCTTTTCAGAAACATTTGCGAATATTTCTATGTGAATGCATTAAATTTTTTAAACCTTATAAAAACTGTTTTAATATTAAAATTAAAATCATTGGGGCTGTTTGTAAGTTTAGTTTAATCTACTAAAACATAAAAATACAACCATTATTTTGCAGTTATTTAAGTTATTTCAGTTATTCTCCTGTGAATATGTGCATTCTGTGTCAAATACTCTGTCTTTGTTTTGGTCTCTATAACCCACCCAGTGCCAGTTTACCCAATTATGCTGTATTTTAGCCCTCCAGGTTGCCATACTGAGAAAAAGCATACTTCATTTCAGTCATGAAGGCTGCATTAATATATGTAGCCGTGGCCAAAAATGCAACATCTGAAGGACAAGCCAATGAAATGAGACATGGATTCACAGTTATAAAAATAAAGATGATGTGGCTTTTAATTAGCAAACAATATAAATATTACAAACATGGCATAACAACATTTGCAGTGAAATGCATTTTGGCTATGCACACCCTCTGCAAAAACACAGAAACATTTAAACAGCTATTCAGAAGCAAATCTTGCATTTATAAGAATATTATGTAAGTAGATTGCTGTGCTGTTATTAAGCTGTAAACAAGTTTGAAATACAATCAGAATTTCATCACAGACTAATCCAACAAATGCACTAACAGGGTGTCCGCGGGGTCTAAAAAAGTTTTAAAAGTTGATAAATCAATTTGGAGAAAATTAAGGCTCTTATGAATGTATCAAAAAGTCTTAATCAAATTTTTACGAGGTTTTAAATTTTGTTCAAGCATTATTTGGCTTCAAAAAGGCATAAAAATAGCTATTTTTCTCTTGATATTAACAACAGCATGCTTGGCTGAGGCATGTCCGTCCAAGCTCCTCACGTAATGTGATGTGAAGCTCTCCACACGTAGTGAAACCAGAGCGAAACAGACGGCAAAATGGGAAAATGTAAGTTTGCGTACTCCTGGTTGAGAAGGATGAGTTTAAAAAGTGGCTGAAGCCTGTCACTGAAAATAGTCACGTAATAGTTTATATGCCGAACTAGTGTTGTTCCTTTACTGATAAACTTGCGGTGACCTGTTATTGTGAATTTTTTTTCCATTTTAGACGGTTCCTTTTACAGCATTGATGTTGTAATACAATTAAAATACAATCAGTTAAATAAACTTTGGCATTCGTTTAGTTGTTCAAGCGTAAAACGAGACAAAAGGCCATTTACTCACACGGGCCCATCAGAATCGGCAGGCCAGCATAGAAGCTCCATTGAATATACTGCAGTAAAATAAATGCTCATATTATAAAGGTATGGTGGGGAAAAATGTTGTTTAATGCGATGCTTCTTGTACAATCTGAGACCCACTTTATATCGGATATCACTCAGCCAGTGGAGATCGCCGATTTTTAAAGAAAACTGACCTTAAACGCTCCAATTTTTGCATTGGCATACAGTTCACCGGAATCGCTTAACCCAGGTTACTGGCAATTTAGAAGTCCTATTAGTCTATTATTTTATTTAGAAGTCCTATTATTTTTTCAAGCTTTGTTTATCTGAGCTTATCTGAAATCTGTTGCATGGTTGTGCTTCATTAACTTATTTAACTACAACTGTTTAATACCAACTAAGTTAATAGTTTGATACTGATTAGAACTTGGCAATGAGGTCTTAAAATATTCTGAGAAGGTCTTTAAAAAGTCTTGAAAAGACATTGGAATTATCTAGGATTCCTGCATTTACATTGACTAAACTGAAGTTGCTGTTTTTAGCCCTCTACATTTATATCTATTTTTCTTCTTGAGTATGATCTCCATAGTCTGCAGTCAGTATTATGATATAAGAGAATGTTTTATGTGTGCTCTCTTTTAACTCTCAATATGTGAGTGATGGCACAAAGTGTGGTATTGATTTGCAGAAGCCTTTGATGAAAGGCACTGTTGAAACTCCCTGTGTAAATCACTGAAAAGTATTCAGATGCAGTAATGAGGCCATTTAAATCTTGTAGTAACTAATACATTTTAAATGATCTTCAGAGAGTTCATCCCAGGAGTGCTATAAATATGCTGTAAAATATTTACTTTGTGAGGTTAAAAAAATGTACTGCGTGTTTAATTTCATCAGGCTCCCTGGGAAGTCATGCAGGCAAGAAAGTTAAGCTTTGATGCCAGGGAAAACAGCTGCTGATGTGTATTTGTGAAATACAAGACTATTGACATACATTTTATCTAATAACATTTGGTCAACATACGTTTTTGACATTTTTGAGAGAAAAACTGGTTACAGCACATGCCAG